AGTCAAAATAGAGCACAGTTTCCTCCCCTGTGATATTTTTTAGGAGGAGAAAAGCCTTTTCCAGGTCCACCTTCCTTGAAAGCTCTGAAGAATCCCCCAAATGAACTGACACCTCATCCAATCTTTGGAAGGATGTCTGGGGCTACCGTTTTCCTAGGCTTGACAAGCACCTGAGAAATGACAGTCTTCTGTCAATGGGCAGAAGGCGCAGGAATGGGTCCGGTGTAGGTAACCAGCAGTGCCTGTAGACAGTGGTCTAGATGACAAACTCCAGGGCAGCTCTGGTGTGCTGCAAGCACACTGCGAGGTGGCTAACCGTGTTCATAAGAGGGTACAGTCACCGCCCTGTGCTGAAAGGCCACAGTGGGAGTTGTCTGGTGCTGCTGGGGGACTTGGGGGTTTGTGTAACCTGAGGTAGCCATGAGGCACCTGGCCATTCAGGGAGCCATCTTGAATCTCCTTGAACGACTTGAATCTCAAGTCCCAGTGACAGCCCGGAAGCAGTTCTGGTCCTGGGAAGGAGGACGCGGGGCCCCTCGAGCTGCTGTGCAGGGAGTGAGAGGGCTGCTCAGAGTGGGCACCCCAGAAATCCACAGTTAGCCATGTAAAGGAAGATGTGGGGGAGACTCCTGCTTGGGAGGGGGGTGGATGGTGCACTGGTCTGGGGCTGGTGCTTGAGTCAAGGGGCCCTCGAGACCATTGCCTTGACTGTCTGACTCTTTTAGGGGGTGTAGTAGTCAAGGACGCAGGCTGGACAGAGTCCCATGGCAGCCTAGTGTCCTTAGAGCTTGGGGTGCCCTAGGACTAAAGCAGCATGAGATCTTGTCTACAAAGGAAGAGGACCAATGTGAGGCCAGGGCACAAGGCCGCCCAGGCCAGTGTCCCCGTCCCAGTGCACCTCTGGGCTACCAGGCTGGACCTGTGCTTCTGGATGGACAGCCTCACTCAGACCCTCATTCTAGGACCGGAGCGAGGCCAGGGTCACGGCCTTCTTCCGGCCGCTCTGCGGGCCTGGTGGTCAGATCGGAGTATTCTGTAGTCAGGAACAATCTGCTCCCGTGTGCCCTCTTCCAGGCAACCAGGACTGTGGCAGAGAATGTGTGGAAGGGGACTGGCTGGGGTCAAGGCAGGATCTTTCCCCCAGGAACTCTTGTCCCTTCCAGCTCAAGGGCAGGGCTGTTGGCTGGACATTCTGCTGCCCTTAGCCCAGAGTCCAGGGCACAGGGTGAAGTGGGTGAAGTGTCGCTAACTGCGTGTCTCCTTGGCTTCTGGTTCTTGGAACCTCGTCTACCTGGTCCTCTCCCAATCAGCCCAGTGAGTCGTGAGCATTTGACACTGGCTGCCCCAGAGCCTTGGGACCAGGCTGTAGCCCTGGCCCTGTAACCAGGCACCAGGGAAATGCCTGGGGCCCTGCTCAGTGCCTCAGGTCTGGTGGTGGCTTCATTTGCGGAATGAGTATGTTGACCCAGGCTTGTCCTGACAGTCTGGTGGGCGTGTGGCACAGGAGCTTTGCACAGGTGAAATACCATCCGTGGGCATTTCTCCGAGGCCATGGAGGGCGCGGCCATTCCAGATCCTGTCCTAATGGATGCCGCCACCCACAGAGCCCTCCCTGCAGCTGGGAAACTGAGGGGGTGTTGTGACTCTCCCGTGTTTGTCCAGATGTAGAAGTGGTAAATTGTTAGCATCGCAGTGACTCAAGCTCAGAGATTAGCAGCTTTCATCTGAAGTCGGAGTCAGAGAAGCCAGGCCCGCTTGTATGCATGCGTGTATGTGAAAGCCAGCATCTGTGGATTCTAATCCCGGCTGCAATATCATCTAGCTTCATGACCTTGAGCCTATCACTTCTTTTCTATGAATCAAAATCCCTTCCTATGAAGAAAAGGAGCTAAAACTGTATATCCGGGCCATGACTGGGCAGGAAAGGAGCGCTCTAGACCGGGCTTTTGGGGGCTTTTGGGGGCTACATGGGAAGCAGAACACCCAACCTCTTAATGTGAACCAGGCTTTGGCATGAGCAGGGAATGGCAGTGCCACTCTAGGCAGTGGTGGCTGCTAGGCATGTCCCCAGTCAGTGTGGGCAGCTGCTCCTTCCGGGGGCCCTACGTGGGTACTGAATGCCCTGCCCTGCCCAGCCATCCCCGGCCCTGGCTTCCTGAGCTGAGCTGTGGGCAGGTGCTGGGCTGGGGAAGCAAGGAAGAATCTAGAGAAAGCAAGAGGGGAATCGGTGTGGAGTGAACAGGAGTTCTTAGCTCCGCCAGAACCTGTCACCTCTGAAGGATGGTATGTTCAGGTCTCAGCTCCTGCGGCCACCATGATTGTGAATAAGAACCACAATGTCAGTAACTCTGCGACTGCTGCTGACCCTCTGCTGACATCAGGGGCCACCGTGAAACTGTGCACAGTGGGGCGGTGACGGTGCCTGCCTCATCCATGCAGCATATTGGCCTGGGTTTGGACCCCAGCTTTGCTAGTAACTTGCCGCCTGCCCTTGGGCCAGTGGGCTCCTCTGAGCCACGGTTGGCTCTGGTACATGACTGGGCATCAAAGAAGTATTTCCTGTCATTACGGACATAGCTACGCATCCACACTTCTTTTAAAATCAGGGTGAGTCGCAAGGCTCAGCCTTCTCTCCCCACCCACGAGATTTTAATGTGGAGGCATTTCCCAGAGTGTTCTGGGAAATCTGGGCTGTGAAAAGACGTCACTAGAGGGTCTGGTGCTTGGAAGGAGCTTGGGTAATGCCAGGGTGAGCAAAGATCAGCAGCATCTTTGCTGCAGGACTTTTCCTAGCTTTTACAAGAAGTCTAACAAAACTCCACGAATGGGTGACTCACACTGTGTTCTCCCAGATTCATTTAACCAGGGAGCCCTATAAGGCATGCACGGCAGGACACATTTGGATGACCTTCGAGTCTCCTTGTCTCGTGGTTTCCAGAAAGCTCCATCCATGCTCACCAGAGTCACCAAATCAGGGGGGACGTGGCATATTTACCCCCATCCTGTCTCTGCAGTGCTGGCTCTCCATTTCTGTTTTTCTGTGTCTATCTTTTAGTATGAGAAGCCTCAGACAGAAGTTAAGGAAGGCAGGATTAGCATCACGTGGAGAGACCAGGGTGGAACCCAGGTAATTCTTTTTCTCCCCAGTACTGGGATTTGAACCAAGGGAGTACTGAGCTTTTTTTTTTTTTTTGTTAAAGACAGGGATCTTTATATTGCCTAGGCTGGCCTCAAACTTGTGAGCCTCAGCCTCCCAAGTAGCTAGAGTTTCAGTCTGCAGTAATCTGAGCTCTGAGGAGCTGAGATCAGGGCCAAGGTGCAGCTCCCCCTGGGGCTCCCTGCAAGATTTGTTCATATTTTGTCCTGGGCGTTGAAGAAGGGAGAACAAGCATCAGTATGCTTATGTCTTGCACGTGACATCACCTTGTCCTGAGCAGGATGGCCCGCCGGAGGCCTGCTGACCTCCAGAATGAACACTCATTGTTCTGCGGTTACTGCATTTAACAGTCACCATGGGTCACAAGGCTGGATCTGAATAAGGTAGCCTTAGAAGGGAACTCAGCGGGGTCTACTCCCCACATCCGCTGGGGCCACCCCAAGAGCTGCTGGCTACTGCCTAGCAGGTCCCAGGACCCTGTCTTGCAGTGGCAGGGAGCAGCCAGGGGGCATCACAGGGAGGCTGTCTGTGTCCTGCCTCTGGGGCTGCAGGGTGGGCAGGCATCATTTCTTTTTTCTTTGACCCTTAAGTACCCTGTATGTAAGTGCCTCTCTGTATCTTGCATTTGACTTACGTGGGCAGGAGGAAGGTTGGATGAAAGTGTCCCCAGCCCGCATCCTTATTTCTTTCGTGTATTTCAATCTATAGGCAGCAAACCACCAGCACGGTTTTTAAGATCCTGGGGACTAAATCCAGGTCTCTCAAATGCGAGCCAAGTGCTGTACCACTAAGCAACATCCCCAGGCCTTTTAATTGATTAAGTTTGCTGCAGCACTGGGGACTGAACCCAAGATCTTTGTATTGAGCTGCATTCCCAGCCTTTTTAAAAATTTTTAAAATTTTGAGACAAAGTCTCCTTAAAGGAGCTGAGGATTTAGCTCAGCAGCATAAGCGCCTGCCTGGCAAGTGTGAGGTCATGAGTTCGATCCCCGGTACCAAAACAAAACAAAACAACAACAACAACAACAATAAAAAAAAAGTCTCCTTAAAGTCATGAAATTACCCAGGTTAGGCTCAAACTTTGATCCTTCTGCCTCACCTTCTCCAAGCGGTGGGATTACAAGCTTATACCACCAGACCCAGATTTTTATTTTATTTTGAGACCAACTCTTGCTAGGTGGCCTGGGATGGCCTGGAACTTTTGGTCCTGCTGCCTTAACCTCCCAAGTAGCTGCTATTAGAGGAGTGCACCATTGTGCCAGCTACAACCAGGATTTATAACATGAGACAGATCAGGGTGTATCAGAAGGCATCGGATAGAAGGGGCTGTTAAGTATTAGTTCATGAGCGCTAGGAGGGTGGGTGGATAGGAAAGCAGATAGACTGCAGTGTCACGTGGATTACTGTGGATTCTGCTTCATGAAGTTTGGAAGCCCGTGGCTGGCCGAATCCAGGTGGTGGCACCAGCTGGGCAAGGTGGATCTGCTCCCTGGGTCTGTCCTGTCCTCCAGACCTTGAGAGAGAGGCACCCTCCAAAAAGTCCTCGTGATGGTTGTTCCTCTTTGAAAGAGATATTTTTGTTGTCAATCAGGCCACTGAGCTAGGGGTCCCCAGCTAAAGGGAAAGGAGAAGAACGTGTCATTGTTAACCTGTGTGATGAGGGCAGGATTAGACTAGGACACCCCAGTCCTGCTTTTTATCTTGAGGTTGCTTTTTTCTGAGATTTCTAAGGTCTGGATCTCCCAGAAAGACCTGGGCTGGTTTGCAGACCCCAGTAGGGAGGCAGGGTGGCTCCCCCTGGCAGTGAGGAGGGTACAGGAGGACAGAGGAGCTGGAGCCGGAGCCTGGTCTCCATGGACAGTATTTATTAGGCGCCATTCTCAGTGTGAAGACAGATAGGCAGGGGGCGCTGAGGGGGGCCTGGCAGCCACAGCCTGGGGAGTTCAGGGGCTGCCCGGGTGGGGTGTGGGTGTGGGGCATGTCACCCACACATATTGCATATTCTGTGGCAGTGTGCCCAGGCATAAGGCATCGGGGAAGCAGAAAGGCTGCCTGCAGTTGAAGGGGTGAGAAGGGAAGTGACACTGGCCTTCCAGTTCTCCAGGAAAGACCCAGCCAGAGACCAGCAGTCTGCCACGCTCTGCCCCGGGCCGCTCCGCTTCCTTCCCACCTCTCTGCAGCTTTGGTTGTGGCTCCCTCGGGTCTGACGTCTGACAGGACTTGACCCTCGAGGGCAGGGTCACACACAGGACAGGGGCAGCCAGCACTGCCCCACTCCCAACATGAACACAGAGGGCACCTTTCCGGGCTCTAGGCCTCCTGCTGGTGGCACACGGCAGCCAGCTCCTCCACTCTGCACTGGGGCTTCTTCCTCTGAGGTCCCCAGAGGCTAGAAGCCATAGCCATAGCCTGAGGCTGACCACACCATAGGTCCCTCCCTCAGGCTTCCTAGATGGACACCAGGGCTGGGCTGGCTGGCCAGCATGGAGGAGCTGGCCAGGCAGCACAGGAAGGCAGCTCTGCGGGGTAGAGGACCCTTGCCGCCTGTGAGGCTGCCCCAGCCCTACACCAGCTCCAGCTGTGGAGTGGGCTAGCACAGCGCCTCCATCCGCTGCTTGCCCTGAGCTCCTGAGCTGCAGGCACGGGAGGCAAAGGCTCGCCAGGCCCAGGCCCCTAGAGGCAGGAGTGTTTTGCCTGCAGCTGCAGCTAAGCTCTGCTTTTTGGGACACAAGTACCTACACTGGCTGTAGGCAGGGATCATGTCCCAGTTGATGTTCCTGCCAGCTCTCTTGGCTGCCCTGGATGGTTCTCAAACTCTCAGAGCTGGCCTGTGGCCCAGGAGACCCAGCCCTGCTCATCTGGGTCTCCCAGACCTCTGTGTTGGTAAGCAGGCAGCCTAGAGGCATCCGGGGTCAGTGTGGTGAGGCTGAGCCTCAGCAGGGCCCGGCAGGGCTTCTTGGTCTGCCTTAAGCCCAGCTCTCGGAGGACCCTGGGCACGCAGGGAGGAGCTCTGCTTCCGGAAGTGGGCTGGGCCACAAGGGAAGAGCACTTGGGCTAGGACAAGCAGGCGGGTTCTTGTTCTCCTTTCCTTTTGCCATCCGTATCACCTTGGGAAAGTCATTTCGCGTCTCACTGGTAAAATGGGGATAAGAACTCTTGCCCGGGTGACCTAAGTAGGATGCTGTGAGACTCAAACCAATGAGTAGGCAAGACTTAGTTTTTGGAGGCTAAAAATCACCCTACAAATGTAAGAGTTGGTGATCGGTGGCAGCAGCAGCCAGGAATGGCAACTCCGAGTTTTCTGTCTCAGATTCCAAGGGCAGTGTCTGGAAGGCGCCCCCCTCCCCAGGACGAGGCCGCCAGGAGAGGCCAGTTAGGCTCACCTGCCAGCGCCCCGCCCCGCAGACAGGGAGCTTCGCCTCCCCCACTCCCTCTCTCCCTCTCTCTCGCTCTTCTCGCCTGTCCTTTCTTCCTGTCCTGCCCTCTGGGGACTAGTTTTAGGGGCTGCCTGGGTTCCACTTTCTCCATAACTGCAAAGCCATGCAAAACAACACAGAAGGTAGTGGGGGCTGGGAGACACAGCTGGGGACGAGGAAGGGGAGTGAGACTGAGAGGGGGTGACCTGGACAAAGACACCCTGGCTTTTGGAGCCCAGGGGAGGTGGGAGACCTGGCAGGACAGAGGTATAAATCGAGATGCAAAACATACATGGAACACGAAGTCCCCTCGGGCGATGGGGGTCTGGGTACCAGCAGGGCCTCTGAGGACTGCGGAGCTTGGATTTCCAAAAGGACCAGAGGCTCCCAGCTTCTGCCTTCCCTCCTCGACCCCCTTCCCCTAAGTTTCACATTTCTTGGAATTTGCAGGGCTTGGATGAGGGGGGGCCCCCGGGTCCTCGGAGCCCGGCCCCCTGCCAGCTGGTGCGAGCAGGCACAGTCGGAGATGGGGGCTGGGGGACAGAAGTGGGGGCCCTGGGGGAGTCCCACGGGCCGCAGACGGCTCCAGTGGGGGGCGCTCCCGGCCGATCCCTGCCGCACCACGCCGAGCCCCCGCCCTGCTCGAAGGGGCGCCAGGCCCCGCGGAGGTCACACGGAGCTCCTGCGCTTCATGAGGCCGCGGAAGGTGGACAGGCTGTGCAGGCCCGTGGACACGGAGCTGATGGCCGAGCGTTGCGTCCCGCTGCACAGGCAGCGGTGGGAGGGCGTGTCGCTGTAGCGGCCGCCGCCTCCCGGCGACGAGTGGCTCTGCTCCACGCACGTGTCGGACGTGGACAGGTCCCGCGGGATGATCATGGGGATGGAGTACTGCAGCTTCTCGCGGCTCTTGTACCAGAGGCACGAGCACATGGACTGGAAGTGCAGCACCTCGGCGTAGACGTTGCGGAAGCCGCCCGCGCCGCCCGCGCCCGCCGCCACCGTGGACGAGGCGGTGTCGGTGGTGTGCACGCTGTCGCCCACGCCCACGCCCACGCCCACGCCCGCGCTCAGGCAGCTCAGGCCGCCCAGCCCGCCGCTGCCCGCCTGCCCGTGGCGCGTGAGCAGCGCGCGGTGCTCGGCGTCGCGCTTCTCGTCCTCCGCGTTCATAGTCATGAAGCGCAGCACCACGAGGTTGAGGAAGGCGCCGATGACCGTGAGGCCCGTGAGGATGTAGACGAAGCTGAAGGCCACGTACTGCGGCTGCGTCTGCAGCGCCTGGTCCTTCTGCAGCGCCACGTAGTCGCCGAAGCCGATGGTGGTGAGCGTGATGAAGCAGTAGTAGTAAGCCTGGAAGAAGGTCCAGTGCTCGTAGTAGGAGAAGGCGGCGGCGCCGATGCACAGCGTGCTGATGCACGACACGAAGCCGATGAGCACCATGTTGGCCATGGACACGTCGGCGCGCCGCATGCCCAGCCCCTTCTTGGCGCGGTGCAGCAGGTACCTCACGAAGGTGTTGATGCGTTCGCCCAGGCTCTGGAACATGACGAGCGTGAGCGGGATCCCGAGCAGCGCGTAGAACATGCAGAACACCTTCCCGCCGTCCGTGCTGGGCGCTGCATGGCCGTAGCCTGGGGAGATCGGGGGAGAGGAGAGAGAGAGCACAGGTGGTGGGTTGCACCTCCAGGGACCTCGGTGGTTAGCCCTTGCACCCCCCTCCAGACCTCCCAAGCGCTGGGCCTCCAAGGCCTGTGTGCCCTGGAACTGCCTCAGCCCCCCTCCCCCACCTTGCAGTTGCACGAGCTTGCTGACAATTCCAGAAGGCAGGTAGGAAGGAAGGAGTCCAAGGACGCGGTGTTTGCAAGCAGAGCAACCCGAGTTTAAACCGGAATCTGCCTGGCTTCAAAGCTTGGACTTTTCTGTACCCCTAATGAAAGAGGCAGGCAGCTCCTGCTGCGGCTGGGCGCTGGAGAATGGCGGTCAGCGGAAGCACGGTTTCCCGTGCAGTGTCAAGGGCTCTGGGCTTGGTCCCCTCAGGCCTCTGCACACTTGTAGATGAGGATTGGACTCGGGAGGTTCTGCCATGCTGTGATTTGGTATGGAGGGAGAGAAACTGAGGCCTGGGTAGCTCCTTGATGATTTCTCTGCTGGCAGCAAAAGCTTACAGTGAGATGAGGGGGCAGCTGGCCCAGCAGTGGCCGAAAGGAAGAAAGGAAACCCACGGGGGCCTCTCCCAGGTGGACAGGGGAGCACTCCAGGGTCCTCATCACCCCGAGGGGGGAGCTGAAACTCTGGGGTCTTTGTATAATTGTGACCTCAGAGAGGGCCTGTGCTCCTGGGATGTGACATTACCCTTGGCAAAGCAGGAGCCCAAGTGTCCCTCCAGGTGTGTTAACTGTCACTAGCCAGGCCGTCTGTGACACCCCCCCCCCAGCCCAGGAGAGCCAGGGCCTCCCTCTGAGAGAATCATTGAATCAGGAATTCTGTAGGAAAAAAAACACTGCCTGGCTACATGGAGAGAACATGACCTGGATGGGAGCTCAAAGCCTGGGGCCAGATTCTGACCATAAAGCCAGGAGTGGCTGTGGGACCTTGAGCAAACGACACCCCCCTGCCCCCGCCCCATCATGTCTGTTGTTTTGTAAATGCGGTCTGCTGGCCTGGCCCTGCATCTTTCACCAGACTATTTGAGATATTTATTGTCTTTATTAGTAGAATTATGATAGCAGAATTGGGACAGCGCTAGAGCCCTTGCCTTGCATGTATGAGGCCCTGAATCCCAACCCCAGCACCACAGAACACTTTTCTGGTAGGAGAATAATGTTGGCTGCTTTTCCAGGTTTCCCTTTATCTAAACCTTAAGAAATCTTAACCTAATGCTTCTTTCCGGCAGTCTTCCTGGATTATTCACAGCAGGAAGTGACCTTCGCCTTACGTGGCTGTTCTGTTTAAACTTTGGGCCCCAATTCCATCTAGCTACTCTCAAGGAGCCCTCAAAATACACTTCATGACTAAGTCGCAGGATGGTATATTTTGGTGCTGGAGCTGAGTTCAAATGTCGACTCTTTCATTGACTAGCTCCCTGTGTGTGCGTGAAACCTCTCTGAGCCTTGGTTTCCACATCTGCAAAATGGAGCCATTCAGTCACTGCCTCACAGGACTTTGGGGTGGGGTAAGTGAGATAACATACGTCATATATTCAGCGTGGGGCTGGGGCCTGGGGCCTATCAAGGGCTCAGTGATGGCTCGCTGCTGAATTATGCATGTAGGGCCTGATTACTCTCACACTTCCCAAAGAACATTGCGTGGCTGTGGGGGTTGCTGAGTTCCAGTAAAACTGGCATCTCTGCCAGCCTGAGGCCACTGAATCTCAAAACTCGGTGTCTGGGGACAGCTGCCTGAGGTGTGCGGATCTTTGGGGCTGCCCTTAGAACAGGCTCCCCTGGCTCCATGGTGGCATCGAGCCAGGGCCCTGAACAGCTGAGCTATTGAGCCTCCATGCTTGGCTGGTCTGCACCCCAGCAGAGTGAGAACAGATTGTGCCCGCCAGTTCAGCCTCAGCAGCCAGCCCACAACTCACCTCGACAGCTGGGCAGGCCCCCAGCCAGCGCTGCTTCTTATCCTGTCCTTCCCTGTCCACTCTGTGGGGAGACATGGCGCTGGGGACAGGGAGTGGAGAATATGGGCCCGGACCCTGCTGTGTGACCCTGGGCAAACCCCGCCCCTCTCTGGTCTCACTCACTTGGCGTGTGGGGCAGGGATCGAGTTAAAGCTATTAATCTCTGCCCTGACTGTGTGCCAGGGCTGCCTCCAAGAGTGAAGAAAGTGGCTTGGAACCTGTGCCTCAACAGATGCAGCAGTGACAGGATCTCACAAGAGGGGGCCTGAGGGCATCGCCCAGGGAGCAGACCCGTCTCTGTGGGCTCAGGAAGCCACGGGTCACCCTCAGGATGGGATACCCTCTCCACCACGTCCCCATCCCCTCCCTCTACTTGTTCACTGGCCGTGACTTCTGGCCCCCATCTCGTCAGAAAACCCGGTGTCTGCCTAGCAGCCCTGCTGCCCGCCATGGACTGCCTGTAAACCAGCTCCTTCCCTGCCCCTGCCTCGAGCCTCAGCGGCCACCCTGGGGCCCCATGCCCACCAGCTGTACCACCGCCTTCTCTCTGTACCTTTCCTCTGTGCCCTTTTTCTGGCCCTTGCTGTCAGCCCTCAGGACCTGACTTGAGCCACAAGGATCAAACCCCTCCTCCTCTTCTCTCCTTGATTAGACAGTGACCAGCAAAGCACGCGACTCACCCAGGTCCCACCAAGGCTTTTCCCAGAGTGGAGCCTCCTGCCCTGCTCACCTCAGCCCCTGCCCTGTCCAGGGCAGCCTTGGCCTGCCCGACCTGGCCTTGGGTCAGATGCACCTGGCTCCCACCAGAGGAGGCCTCCTAAGCAGGTGCAGCTCTTACCCTGCAGTAAATTTCTAACTGAATCCTCAGAAACTTCCCACAGGGTCACCATTATGCCTCTCTGTGCTTTACAGGAAGTCTGGAGGGGTCTGGTGAGTGTCCACAACCACCAGGCCTTTCTGATTCAGTGTCCATCCTGTGCATTGGAACTAATGGATAACCCCAGGAAGGGAAACTGAGGCCCAGCCTGAAGCCTTAACTTCACACACCATCCCAAGCTGGATGTGGCATGAATGGGAATGGGGGAGTGATGCCCGGGCAGACATGCTTTTCCAGGTGCGGGGCCCAGCGTGTGCACACCAAACTCCTCTGCTTGTCTTATCGTCACTGAGTGGGAAGGCAGGCAGACTGCGGGGACCCGCTGACGTGGGTGCCCAGCTTGGAGGACCGCCAGCCAGGGTGGAGCGGTCCCAGGGGGCTTTGGCTTCTGGGAAGTAACTGCAAGTTTGGCCAGCCCCGTCTGCTGCCAGCAGGCCAGCTGCCTGCCCACTCCCTGGCTGTGAGATCCCACAGGCCTTGCCCACCCTTCTCGTCCAGTCCTAGGAGTTTCTGGGCGCAGAGTTCTCTCTGTTCCTCAGTGACATCAAGACAGGCTGCTTTTGGAGGCTGGTTCTCATGCAGAAAGCACTCAGCAGGACTCTCCTTTCTCCTCCTCCCCTTCCTTGCCTCTTTTTTCCTGAGCCCATCACGGATTTAAAGATTGTCAGATCCAGGCCTTTAGCGATCAGCACTTACACTTGGTCAAGCCTCTATTACACCGATGAGGAAATGGAGACCGGAGAGGGAAAGCAATCTGTCCAAGGCCAGAACTGGATCCTAGGGATGCCATCACAGCACCAGTGTGCCATCTACAGCTCTGGGTGGCCAGAGCTACACCTGTCCATCCCACAAGGGCCAGCAGCTCCTACTCTGCAGCACTTCGGCTAAGAGGTGGCTCTAAGCTGGCTGGAGGCTCAGAAGTCGCCCGAGGAAGCAGGTGACGAAGTAAACAGAAACTATTAGCGTCAGCATCTTAGGGTAGAAGGAAACGAAGGGGCTGGACAGGAACCTCCAGGCCTCCGTTCTTGTCCTTCACTGTGGTGGCACCAAGGAGCTCAGACCCTGACTGAAGCTCTGTTTTCCAGGGCCTGGAGGGCTGAGACTGGCTGTCTCTCTTCCTGGTCTCTCTCTACCTGTAGGCCGTTTCCTTGTAGTCAAAACCCAGGGAGCCACCCTGGCAATGGCCTTGGCTTGGGCTTTGGCAGTGGCCTTGGCCGGCCCAGCTGCCTGCTCCAGCCGGCCTCTTTCTCCTGCTCGCCTGCTGCCTGACCTTCAGCCGCCACAGCTTTGGGTGGAGGGAACTGTGGGGCCAAGGGGCAGCAGCTGGGGTCTGTCCCGACCCGGCCAGGATGTGGTCCTCCTCTTAGCTTCTGGGCCAACGGGGCAAGCTAGGAGGGTCCCCCATATTTTTACTGCTGTGGGTGCCTTGTGCTATATTCCCTGACCCCCTGCCCAGTTTCAGAGTCAAACTTCTGTCAGATCTGATTTACGAAGTATAATACATTCATGCTACATAGATCAGACACTGAACAGGTTACTGTTAACACTGTAATTAATTTATTTCCCCATAAAACCTAATTAAGGACACATCTGCCAATCAGAACTTCTGATTAACATGGTGTAATTGACTGAGTGAAGTAAGTGTGTGTTTGAAGTATTGAAAACTAGATGGGAGGTCTCTATAGTTTAGGGGAGTAGATAAAAGCAAAGGCTCTGGAGTCAGACAGCTTTGAACCATGGTCAAGTTACTTAGTCTTCTGGGCCTCCCTTTCCTCATCTGTCAAATGGGGGCAGCAATGTACTTATCTCATAGACTTAAAATGCTTAGGACATTGGGATCAATACATTCTAATCATTGATATGAATATTTTGGGGAACCCCAAGATTATATGGTCTTTAACATCCCTCTGACAGCAACATTCTACGGTCAGTCTTTCCCAAGGTTAACTCCCTGGAATATCAAGTCCACAGGGTGTTAATAACTGTGTCGCTCTGTTAAACTGGGGAAATGCTGGATTACGCAGGATTTGTGGTCACTGCCTTAGTGCGTGCATTTTTCTCAGATCTGTGCATGTGTCACTGTGCAAGGCCATTCCAAGCTAGGATTATGTCTTGCTTTTCACTAATGTTATCAT